TTGATGTTTATGATCCGTGTGGGTTATGTTTTAGTCATTGTATCGTTTCCTGATAATCTTTGCGATCATCTTTGAAGCAGTAAAGGTTAATTCGAACATTTTATTACGAAAATCACGTCCTTCTATAGAGTGTGTTAAGTCTAGAAGAATACGCCTTTTTTTTATTTTTAAGCTTTACGAAAGATTTTTATCATTCTGTGATCTTAAAATTATTTCGATAGATAATATTTTATGATGCAAAAAAACATATATAGAATAAGTGCTGTTGAGATGTCTAATATTTCATTTAATATACGAAAATATTTTTCGGTGGCGCTTTAAGCATGTAATTTTAATCTTTGTTAATCGCTTTTTTTGTTAGATGGCGCTTCAAACATTCAAAAATATTTTGAAAAATGCTTGCAGCGCCACCTAAAGAATATTTTTCTTTTTTTAACTCAAACATTTATCATTCTAGTGGGCAGCTGTATCGCAGTTACCCAAATACTTTTTTGATAAATGTAATTTCCCATGAAATATAGAACATATAAACATATTTTAGAATGTGACTGAATCATTGGAAAAACTATATAGTATATATAAGTAAAATAATTAAAATTAAACATTTCAAGATTGTTTCTTTTTAAAATTATTATTAATAAAATATATATAACAAATTAAAGATATAAAGTGGAAAATTTTAAATAGTTTTTTAATATTATTGCTAAGATACAAAAATTGAAAAAAATTTTTTTTCTTTGATTAATATCCTTCTAAACCATTGTAGTGATATTATAAGAACAATAAAATTGTGAAATTCCATTTACTTGACAACGGAAATGATTGGAAAAACTTTTAGGATATTGTTTTCCAGTCATAAAAGTAGAACCCTCTTTGATTGAATACTTGAGATTGGAATAATAGAGATCATCAATTGCAAAGGATCCAGATGATTAGTTTTGTTTAGAACCAAGATTATAAAATTTCATTTCTAATGATTTTCGGATGGAAGTTAGTTTGCAAAAAAGAAAAAATAATAATAATAAAACTAATATATATATATATATATCATCATTTATCCTTTGATTTGAAAATTTCGAAAATGGGATTTTGTCATGTAAAATAAATTTCATTCTGTGTACGTTAAGATCACCTTTTGCTTACTATAAACAGGATTAATGTTTTCGCTTAATTATGTTTTATTAAATATGAATTAATGCATTATTTACTAATTAATATTAATTTTAATTTATATATCTTAACTGTTCTGCGATGATTAATGTGCGGTAAGTAGTGTTAGTTATAGTAATATAGATGACATTTGGACTAACTTATACAACGATATATTTCAAAATATACTCGAGCGTGATATATAGGTTTTATCAGTAACATATAATCGTTACATGTATAGATTCTATCAGTTTGTATATCTAATAATTTATGATCTACCTGTATAGATCTATCAGTAATATATAATTTCATAACATAAGTGCTATCAATTGTAAGTTATCATTTAACATGTTGCAAATGTTTATCAGTAACATGTTTTTACGATACACGTAATACGTATATAATATCATAAAAAGGTTTTTGAACATATTATGTATAAATATTGCTGACGATAATGTTGAGGAGGTTATGAATGACGTCATTTAGCTATAATTCTGTATTATCGATCTCGTGATTCGAGCAGCAATACCACTGTTCCTCAAATCACACGATCGATAAAACTTATGCATTTAGAACTATTGATAAACGATATCAATCAAGCACCCTCGCAATTTTTCCGATCGGTAATAGTTTTATAATTCGATCTAAAATTTATCGGAAAATATACGATTTATTTTTCAAAACGTGATATATTCTTAACAGGTAACACGAGAATTAAGTTTCGAGATATTTATACGATTTATCAGAACATTATTTTTCTCAAAATAGGATATTCTATGCATCTTATCGATTATACGAAACTTATTATTTTACATGCTCTTTGAACTTTAAACCTACCATAATAAATATTATTTTTCAAGACTTAGTTTACTGTAAAATATACATAACTTATTTTTAATTAAAACGTTGTATAAAATAATGTCATAAAGTATAGACCAGTAATGGCGAACTTTATTGCGAAGATGGGTCCAAAACTCCAAATCGCGGGTGAAATATTTAATTTTTTAATCTATATTAAAATAACAATAAAGTCTATATTAATGAAAAGAAAATAATACTGTGATTAAAACGGAAAAAATACAGTAGAGCCCCGATTATTCGATTTAATGCGGACCGATGCTAACTCGGTTAATCGGGGTTCTGTTGTTTATTTGACGTTCATAATTAGTGACCTTTAAGGCTTTCCAGGATAGCTTTAGGTCCCCGCTTTTACACGATATATACAAAGTTTCGAAATCTATGAAATATTTTTATAATTAATTAAAACCTAACACTTCCTAAAAATTCAATGCGGCTACCTTGAAATCGTCGCACAAATCACGAGTTTGTATCACTAGTATAGACAATAAAGCCTATTTTCAAAATACTGTAATAGGCTGTAATATAAGAATATACTTTTGCAAAATATTTGAGTAAACATAGATCTTATTTTTGAAGATATTGCATACTGTTTAGACTGTATCTTAAGCATAGAACTTAACTTTCAAGTGGTTTCAAGATTAATCACGTTTCTTACGAACTCTTATATTTGCCTATTTGTATGCATTTATATTTCAACGGCTTAAAAAGAAGAATATAAATATTCTTAGATTCAAGGAAACTTGATTATCGATATTCTAAATTAAAAATTATAATTGAAGCGGGACTAATTCATAAAGTAGAAGGTAAAAATATAATTTTCAAACATTTTTCGACAAAAAACAAACCGATGCTTTTATAGATATACTTTGCATATTTTTAATGTTTTAATGCCAATCGTTAAAAGCTATTTCTTTTCTTAATATTGATAAATGAGAAAATGTTCTGGAAGTTTCGTCGCCTTTTATTCTATCATATGTTGTGTAAAGCTTTCTAGAGTAATATCCGATACAAGAGTCGGCTTAATGCAATTTCTCACTTAAATAATACCTTTAGGGATTTCCCAATAGATTTTAATGCTGCCATTTTTCCCCCTTACTCTCGAGTACTATTTCTTATTGTGAAAGATAAATGAAGTTATATTTTAACACACGGTAGCTCTTCCGTTTTTTTTTTATTTCGGTGTGATGTTGTCCACGGTTATGGCTCTATTTTCCTCCCCTAGGACCAATCGTTACTGGCATAATGGGTCACGTGATCGGGTTGTAACTTCGTAAGAGGAATACGAATTACTTACAGTTATTTGGGTTATAAAGTTAAAGATTAAATCCGTCAGAGCGAAAAGATCGTCCTTGATATATCGTCGTAAAATTTTACAAAGAACAAACTCTTGTGTAGATTCAGTAAATCTGACTCCCCACTGCGGCAGTTAGTGTTAATTGCTTGCCTTGCATAGCGTCATCTGGGAAAAAGATCAACAGTTTACGAACAAGTAGTTGCTACTTTAATGCTTTGAGTGGTCGGATAATTGAATAAAGTTGATACTGAGAACCTATTCGGGTTAAACGTGTGACATTGATAACATCTCTCTTCTTCTGTTGGTATTAATGATTTCACTTATTTTTTTTTTATCAAAAATTTCCTTTATTTATCATAGATTTTATTACCAATTTTATAATAAAAAATGATTTTAAATAATTTGTATTATGAGAAAATTTGAAAAGTAATCCTAACAATATATTTTTTTTTAACACTCTTGTAATCCAAACTCTTTTAGTAATTAAGGTCTATAACTTAAAAAATATAATTCAAACCTATTCTATTTTATTGATTAAGACATTTAAACTGTAAATCTGTAGGCCTTGGCCATTATAATTTTGTACATGTCTGGCTTTTTGTAAAGAATAAGGCCTTTGAAAAGCACACTTATGAAAATTCCCTATAAATAGTATTTATTTATTCAAGATTACAATTTTAAAATATTGTACTTACATTAACATATAGTTGAAATTAAGGATAAAAATGCAATATAACAAGTCACAAAATCATATTAACAATAATTTAATAAGAAAATATATGAATATAACAATACTATAATAAAAATATTCGATTGCTAATAATGTTTCTTTCTTTCTAGTAAGATTTTGAAGTATATTTTCTAAATATATAATATTTTTCTCATAATTTCTTTAAATGTATGATTAATTTATAGATATAATTTGAAATATATTAATAAATTTTTAGATACATTTTGTAATAATTATTTACATAATATTATAACACAATGGATCTATGCGGTAAGTATATCATATGCAATATCTTGCAACAAACTAATCTAAAAATTAAATAATATACTAAAGATTTTCAAAATTAAACAATAGCAATAAATTCACAAAGATATTAATATTATGTACTACAATATTTTTGATATTTTGCCACAAAATACCGAAAAAATTCAATAAATTATGACGAAGATGTAACAGTATATCACATTATGAATAATACATTCTTAGTTAAATAAAAAGATATTCAGAATTCATTAGCAGCAGGGGCAAAGAGTCGATGCAAACACTTTTAAAAAAGTTGTTTTTCTAATACTTTTAATGTGAATTTGAGAGAAATTTGTCGATGTAAGATAAGAAGCATAGTAACTTCAGGCTAACATTACAAAAATATATCAATTAAGCTTTGCATAAGGATGTAATATAAATCTCCTGAAAACGGAAACTATCCGGTAATGAGTCATATTATCCCATTAGAAACACACCAACGAACATTGTTATCTTTGAATTACCAGTTAAGTAATGATCTTATACAAAATGAAAGCCAAAATATTACTTAATTTTCAACTAGATGGCATTATGAGTAAGGAAACTACAGATTTAAATTTATGCATAATAATTTTTTTCACGTATTTTTTACAAATATTTTTCTTTTATTAATTCATTTTTTGTTCTTTCTTTCTTTCTTCCTTCCTTATAAAAACACGAAAGAAGTAAATATTCGATTTATGTGACACGAATCTGTGGGATATTTATTACGACGTTCTTACTCCACCCAAGAAAGGATCAAGTAAAAAAATACGAATGAAAGGTTAGTTATTTTTTTTGGTTAATGACTATTATTTCCCTTATTTTCATTCAATTTATTTAACTTAATATAGATTAAAAACATTCTGTACAATTAAAAAAAATTAGATTTATAATTTTTACTTGAATTAGAATATATCATTTTGCTTTCAGATAAGAATCTTTCGGATATTTAAACAAACCATAAATTATAATTAACGGCTTTAAACATTGTCCAAATTTATTGGAGGAAGTATAAAAGTTTACTTCTAACGAATTACAAATAACGATTTAAAATTAAAGTAATAACGATAAATTTATATAGATTATAATTTTTAAAAAAACGTATAAATGTTTATTCTATCTAAACTTTAATTCTAAAAATTGAAATTTAAAATAAACGATTTTTATTTGACGTCTGGGTTATTTTCAAAAAATTCTTTAAATATTGAATTTCTGAAATAAAATAAAAAAAAAATACTTATTAAAATGATTTCTATTTAAAAAAATTTTTTTTTCTTTATTTTCGTAAGGGAAATTGGAATTTCGTTACCAAGAAAAGTGTTAGATCTCAAGACGTGAGGTATGATCAAATCAGACAGGAAACGGAAGTGAGGTCGCCGATTACAGCACCCAAGTGGCCAGGTGCTCAGTCACGGTGCTCTAATTGCACTTGACATCTACATAAATCTCTCTTTCCTTTAACCTTAGTGATATCTAACGAATGCAAGTGAACCGTACCACTCCATTTTCCGGACCACAAAGAGATAGAAATGATATCTTTATCACTTAAATTTCCTTTCCTGAATTAATCTGGTTAAGTTCATTTAGAGTGCTGGTCAGATAAACATGTGAAATTTAAATTTTGCATATTTACTGATGGCTATCTTTCAATTGAAAACGAATTTAAGATAGAATTTCTCTCTCTCTCTCTCTCTTTTTTTAATGAAATCATAAATTTACTGAATTATATTTTAGATTATATAAAGTAATACGTTTGTGTTTTAAGCGTTTTTAAATGGATATAAATAAAATTAAATTAATTATAATTTAATTAGTGTTTTAGAATCCTATTCTTTAAGCTGCTAATTATTATTTTAGTTAATATAATTTTTTTTATTATAATTTAACAATAAATATCTAAAGATTTCTTGCATTCTTTTCTAATTTCTACTTAAAATATATCTTTAAATTGTGATAAAAAAATTATAATTAATACAATCTTCAATTTTTTTCTTACATTCTTATTTTGTTTTCAAAAATATTATCGAAAAATTCATTTAAATTATATATTTTAATTCTTGAAGTATTTATTTCGCCTAAAATATTATTGAAACTTATCAGACAAGAGGAATTCAACATTAGTTATGTATTGTAATACATGAACTTGAATACAGATTTTCAAATGATACGTGACTAATTTCGTCTTTCATTCTAAATTTTGTTAATTAGTTACAAGTTATACAGTATTAATTAATTCACGTAAACATATTACAAAGGAAGGAGATTCTTACAGAATTATTTGAAAGGCGAAAACATTGATTTTTGGCCAAATATTACATACAGTTAGTTCAACTTAGAGTTTTATACAAGTTGATTTCATGTTTACATCTTGTTCAAGTTTTAATATATTTTAGCCAAAGAGGGAGAAATTTTATAAGTTACGAACATCTCCAATTCAGTTTGAAATTATTCACTTCAGTTATTTTTTCTCAGAAGTTTTTTTTTAATGCAATTTAAATCGGTATCAAAGGAGTAGCAGAAATCTTATTAACAGCTTAATCTTATGATATTTTTTGAAAAATTATTTATCTTTGATGATTGCATCAATTAATAATCATTTAAAACCGAGACGAACAAGTAGAACATGTATCATTTGCTTAATTTAAATATCCGATTTCTTGTATTTATATAATAAAAATGCTTTCAGAAGTAATAAAAACAGTAGAAATAAATCATTCATTTATGGAAAATAGAATTTATGTGAAATTATAATAAAACATAACAATTTACTATGAAAAATTAATTTAAAAAAAATTAATTATTTATGAGAAATTTATCAAAATGAAAGCCAGCAATTAATGAGAAATTTATTAAAAAATTAACAACAAAATTTGATTGGTTGAATTTTTCGTGAATTAATTTTCGGTATTTGCGAGAAAATCAAAAATTCAACAGATAATGAGAAGTTATTTTAAAAAATTCTGAATGCCTATGGAAATTATTAAGAAAATTCGACCGTTTATGAGAAATTAACAAAGAAAAAACTTTCAGCACTTATTAGAAATTAACAACAAAAAAAAGTCCAATAATTAATGAGAAATTGACAAAAAAATTCAATCTTTTATGAGAAAGTAACCAAAAAATCCATCAATTAATGGAAAATTAACAACAAAAAAAAAATTGCAAGCATCTATAGAAATGAAAAAAAAATCAACCATTAACTTAATGAGAAGCTATCAAAAAATAAAAGAGAGCAACCATTGAAAAGTATAGAAAAACTCCTTGAGAATATATGAAAAATAATATATATATATATAATTATTTTAAAAAATTTTAATGTAATTTATTAACAAGCTTAATCATTTATAGAAGATTTAACAGAAAAGAAAACGCATCATTAATTTTAGGAATAAAAAATATGTACAGTATATACCATTAACAACAGTTAAATAATCTTTAATCTTGATAATAGTTGAGTATTTAAAATAAATTCATGCCGATAAAGATAGCATAATTATAACAATGAATTTAACAGTATAATTATGACCATTCACATTAACGGATAATTGCTGAGGGACAATCGTTTCGTTCGTGTATTAAATGCAAAACGTTGTTAAAGATTATACTCTGCACTTCAAATCCTTCTAATTAAGATGGTGACTTTAAGGTCTAGTAGATGATAGCCATATTGTACATTGGAGGAAATTAGTTTTGCTATTCGACCTGACAGTAAGATTCATTAACGCTATTATTATCAGTAAATTAATACTAATTGCTAATTATGCAATGCTGAATTTAGCTTAGTTTGATACAGTTAAAATTATTGTATTAAACAATAATTCCTTTCTATGTCTGGCATTATCAAATTTATATATAGAAGAATACTTCGTCTATATTATGTTATTGTATATATTTTTCAGTTGTTCGCATATTATTTTGCTCAAATTTATATATATAATATATCTTCATTATTTTATTGTCTTAATTATTTTTTAATTAGAAATTTATGTTTAAAGCTTTTTTATTATAAGCATTTATGTTGAATAGTCTGTTGTTGGGTTTTTGCTGTTGTATTAAGTAAATTTTTATTAAATTTTGTAAAATAATTAAATAATTATTATTTATTTTTTGAATTATTTTGTTACTGAAAAAAAGGGAATTATATTCAAGTATTTATGAAAGTTAAAAATTCATGTAACTGAGACGAATGTAGCGAAATAATTCATGAATTTATGGAAATATTAGAGCTACAATCCATGTATTTATGGAAAATTTTAAATTTATGACCTATGAATTTATGAAGCATTAAAATTTAAACATTTTTTTAAAAAATTAACTTCAAAAAATTTCAAAAAACTTAAATGCAAATTAACAGTAATGAAGAATTTAGAGACATCTTCAATTTTTCAAAAAAAAATATCTGTAAAACAATTATATTACAATACAGTAAACAATATAAATTCGATTTCTTTTATTTCAAGAACAAAAAATTTTTTAAATATTTTTAATTGATTTAATGGAAAATATCAAATATCTCTTGATAAAAACAAAAAATCAGAAAAGTCATTTAAAAAAGAAGACAAATGATCACTTTCGAATTAAAAATAATTTTAAAAAACGTTAAAAATAAACGATATTTATCATCTAAAAAAAGAAATTAACGAATGTCAACATCTCATGTTACTTTAACAATCATGTAAACTGAGAAGCAATCGTTCTGATTATGTAGTCAATTCAAGTAACAATAAAAGCAGTTTATTAAAAGGGAAGACTAAAGAAAAATTAAAAAAGTAATTTTTTAGAAAAAAAAATAATAATATATGTGTATGTGTATATGTGTTTATAAAGTAGAAGAAAAAGAAGATGATGATGATGAAGACTCAATCGTCTCGAAAAGCAAGTTCTTGATTTTCATTCGAGTCAGACAAAATCAATAAATGAGTCCTCCCCTCATTCAACAGTGTAGCTTGCTGTGTCAAATGTCAGAGGTCATTTTCTGAGTCTTGCTCAGGTGTGTCGTTGTTAATTAAGACGAAAGATTCATTTCCATCGCCTGCTGTGATCTAGACAGGTGTTAAAAGACTGCTCTTCTATAACTGATCTTTATAAAACTTTATGAAGCCTTTTATCAGTGATATACAGTAGATCTGTTAAGCGAGTTGTTAATTTAGAAACATTTTTTTTGTTTTTGTTTTACTAATTTGTTCTATATTTATGTGTCTAGTTAATGTTAAAAATATATAATCTTGGTTCCTAAAAATATTATATTTATGTATATATTCTTATAATTATGTTTAATTTATTAATTATATTTTTTGCTGTTTAATCGTTAATTACGACCTAAAGCTTTATATATATTCTTTATTAATTCATTCATTCTAAAAGCTATTTATGGAGTTTAGATAATAAAAGGCTTATAGGAGCTATAATTATTTTTTAAATATTTATTGTATTTGTTTTTTAAAAAACAAATACAATAAATATTTAAAAAATAATTATAGCTCCTATAAGCCTTTTATTATCTAAACTCCATAAATAGCTTTTAGAATGAATGAATTAATAAAGAATATATATAAAGCTTTAGGTCGTAATTAACGATTAAACAGCAAAAAATATANTAAATGTATTTACACTTTATAACTTAATGTAACCATACAATTACTGTATTTTTTTGTATAATTAAATGTAAATTTACAATAAATAATTTAGCATTTTTAAATTTTTTGAGTTGTGTAGCCAAAAAATAAGCACAAGTATTCAAAAAAAAATCTACGTCCATTATTTCTAAATTTAGACAGATTTATTAAATCAAGATTGCACCTAACTAATTTTTTTTGACGTCTAAAATTAACGAAATTTATTCACAAATTTCTAACACTCCAACATTTTAATTAACTAGAAATAAAGAGACCGAAGACTTCCACTTCTAATAATAAACTAGAAACCCAAAGGCCAATTACATAATTAGAAATTTTCACTTTATTGTATAATGATTCAATTCATTTATCTATTAGAAACGAGTAAATTAAACTATAAACTAATTTTACAAGATGATTATACATTAATGTAATTAATACGAAATAATACTTTCACGTAAAATTGATTGTGTATCGGATATGATTGCTATTATACCGAAGTAGAAAATGTGTTAAAAGATCGTTTGAAGAAGGTAAAGAAAGAAGTCTTGTTATAACCCAGATTTACAGTTGGACTACATGAATTGATCCCATTCACGACAATAAACTTGATCGTATTATATGTAGCTGGAATGTACCAAATTCTTGCAATATTACATCCTTTCATGTCATACAAGTAAGCCACAATCATTTTCTTTATAAATACTTTTCTACGTATTTGAAAAATCTAACTTTAATCTATTCTGTTCCTCAATCGAAAGAACGACTGTAAAATTTTAAATTAAAAATTAATTTCCGATAAATATTTACTACAAAATGAAATTTTTTCAACTTTACGTTGAATGTTTCTAAAAACAAGCATTTAAATACTAAATATAAAGCATTTTAAATGTACTGGAGTATGTTTTATATATACTCCAATAATACTTTTACAATGAAAATAATTATATATATATATAAATATATATAAGCTTACTCTAATTTAAAGTATTAATTTTAATTTTCTTCATCAAATAAAAAAAATTCTTTTAATTTAGGTTAAAACATGATATTACTAATGAACCTTTCTTTAATAATTTGTGAAGGAAAAAA